CGTAGCAAAGCGTGCCTGCTCCGGGCCAAAAGGTGAGAGGGGACAGAAGTGATGCTGGAGTCAGTGGAGAATCTCCACCTCTGGTACGGAGCCCTAAGAATAAGTCTTGCCAGAAACCTGCAGGGTCTGTCTCGGCTGCCACAGCATCCCTGCCTCCCCTGTGCCTCCAGTGCAAGCTCACAGCACTGTCTTGTGTCAAGAGCCCTCCCCTTATCCAGGTCACAAGCCCAGGTTGGAATGTCACCTCTTCACGACACGCAGTCCAGCTCCTGCCAAAAGACCCCGGGGGGGGCAGCATCAAAGTGCCCCTGTCACTGTGAGAAAATGTAAGGTGACTTGTTCCTCCTGCCCTTCCTGCTCAGGTTTTTCCCCTTTATTAGAGGTTTGGGAGGTGAGTCAGGGAGCTGCGGGGTGAGGATGGAGCTGCGGAGGAATCGGCAGCTAAGGAAAAGGCAAACCAGTTCCAGGCACAGGTGAATCACTTGCTGGTGAAAATACATCTTATTCTCTGGGAGGCATGCGTGGATGGGCTGGGAGTGAGCTGCAGCTTGACTCCATCAGAAAATTGTGGAGTCAAGGAAAAAAAAAAAAAACAAGGCAAGGCAAGGCTGCTTTTCCAGTAAATGAGGCGATACATTGCAAGGGAGCAGCCTGCAGCCGGCAAAGCTCCAGCAGCCCGTGGTCCTGTGGCTCCCTTAAAAGGGGCGATTTTAGCCTGGGACAGCGGGGAGACAGAAAAACCATAAACACCCTCAGAGGAATGTGGCTGCCGAGAAACGAGAATCTCCGCAGGCGAGGCGAGGTGGGGGGAGCCTGGATGGGGTTTGCACCACCTCTCCATGCCTGGAGTCAGCCGGTTCCTTGGCCATGCCCTGTCCCGAGGGAAAACCCCCTGTCCCAGTGCTGACAGTCCCTGTGTGGTGCTGGGAGAGGCTTCTGCCAAGCCCCAGGGGTGTTATGTCCCCATGTCCTCAGGCCCCATGCCATACAGACATTCCTGATTGCCAGCTGCTGGCACGAGAGTAGGTAGGGCTGGGAGGTGCTGTGCAGGCAGCAGGACACCAGCTTCGGCCACAGAAGGAGCAGGCACGGCTGATAGAGGGTGCCTGTCCCAGAGGAATTTCCTCTTCATCATATCCCACTTGTTTATGGGCAGCTGAGTTATTCTCCACAGACTTTGCTCTTAGTTCCGTGGAGCAACCCTGTGTGTCCTGGGGCATTGTGCAGGTTCTTGGGAAGAGCCCTTGGGGCTGGCTTGACCCTGCAGGTAGCTGTGGGCATGTGGTGATACCTCTGGGCCAGGCTCTCCCCTACCTGTCCAGACTGGTAGCAAATGTGCCTGACTGAGATGACCATGCTGCTTGCTTTTCTTCCAGGACTGATGAAGCTGCAGCATGTGGCACTTGTCTGTAAATAAATGCTGTAGTTCGTTGTTTTTGTTGATCTTTCATAAAGAAATAGTATTTGGTTTTCACACCCCAGCTCTTTTTGCATTAGATTTGGGTACATGCAGTGTTTGCAGAGTTGTGGTTTCCAATTGCTCCGGGTTCCTGGGGCTGGAGGTGTCTGGCTGTGGTGGCACAGCTGCCCCGGGGGTGAGGGTACCTGTGCACAGAGCAGTCCCACTTATGAGGGTCCTGGTACTAGTCATGTTCATGAGCTGGTGCAAAGCAGTGTCTCCAAGAACAAAGCTATCCCCAGCAAAGAGAGGGAGATGACATGACCAGCCTCCACAGCAATGCCACCAAAGCAGGCAGGAAACTTTCTGTTCCACTTCTTGCTGGAGCCAAAGGGATTCCTGGAGCAAGAGCTGGGATCAAGCCACAGACATGCAAAATCCCAAATAATGCCACAAAGGCCATGCAGCCTTGGGAATTACTGAGCCAGGGTCTGGGCAGAAGGTTTTGGAGCTGTAGGCTCTGATGTTTAGTCTTTTGACCTTTCAAACGCTCTGGGTTTTGCTTCCCACCCTTCATTGTGTTCTCCTGTGCTGTTCAAGAGACTCAAGCCAAGCAAAGAGTTCCTTGCCCTGTCCGGAATCCTGCTGCTGGCAGCGGGCACTGTCCCATGTCCCCGACTCTTGCCGCACCTTGAGTGGGCAGCAGCGGCTGTGGTGGGCAGGGGGTGGGGGCCTTTAGGGTGAGGGTGCTGCTAGCGGGGCGCCGTGGGCGCTGGTTCCTGGAGGTGGATGCAGAGTGTGGGCAGCGGTGGATGCTGGCAGAGCCCCGGCGAGATGCGATGCGGGGAGGTGCGGGGCTGCGGGATCGCGGGGCCGCGGGGCGAGGGGCCGGGGGTGTCCCTGGACGCTCGATGGCCTCGGCCCAGCCCCCTCCTTAATTAGCCGCGGCCGAAGCCGCTCATTAGCGGCGACTGGGGACGGGTGCCCTCCCCGCGGAGGCGGGAGGGAGGGGAGCGCCGCCGGCCCCGGAGGTGCGGGCACCGGCACCGGCACCGGCAGCGGAGCGGGGCTGGAGCCCGAGCCCGGCGGAGGGATGGGACAGCGGCGGGGCCCGGCCGTGCTGCTCCTCGCTCTGGGTGAGGGGATGCCCGGGCGGGGGGACCGGGCGGTGTCCGGGGTGTCCGCGGGGAGGGGGCGATGCGATGATGTGTCCCCTTCTTCCCTCCCTCTCTGCCTTCGTCCGGGCGGGGTCCGCGCGGCTCCCCCCGGCGGCTCCCGCTGCCGGGGCCGCTGTCCGCCCCCGCCGCCGCTGTCCCCCGCCCCGGGCCGGGGGTGCCGGTGTGGGGGTGGCAGCCCGGGCTGACTGGGCTCGGCTCGCCCCGTGTCCACCCCGACAACGCCGGGCAGAGCCGGGCGCAGCGGGAGCTCGAGGCTGTCCTGCGTGGAAGGGGCCGCTCGCCCAGCCGGGGCACCCGGGGAGGGGTCCCCAGAGGTGCCGGTGCTCACTCCGCTCCCCCGGTGCTGGCAGGGCACCTGGCCGGGCTGCTGGCAGCGGGACCCGCTTGCGCCGACGCTTACCGCGGCCTCTCGGACTGCGTCCTCAAGCTGGGGGACAGCATGGCCACGTACGAGGAGGAGGAGGGCATCGAGCTGCAGGGGCTGCACCGAGTCTGCAGGTGAGTACGGTGCGTGGCCAGCCTGGCTTTTGGCAGTCCCTGTGTGAGTCTCCTGCCCTCCTGAGTCCCGGCGTGCCTGCACACACACATGTGCTCCACATCTCACTCCGGTTTCAGACTGACACAGCGAGCTTCTTTTCTCTGTCTGTCCACCCATCCATCTCCTACTTGTCTCCCATCGGAGTTTGTATCCCTGGTCCTTGGCAGCAGCTCTAGCCCCCAGCACTGATCCCATCAGCCCCGGCATGGCTGCAGCCAGGAGGAGCGGGGCTGGAGGGACCCTAATCGCTCTGCATTCCAGGAAAATCTCCCCTGGACCCCGCTGCTCTGCCCCAGCGCCCAGGAGCAGCCTGCACTGGGCACCACATGCGGCCCAAAACAAGCCTTCTCCCTCCCTGTCTAGACCCTTCATCCTTCAGGCTTGGATTTGTCCCAGTCCTGGTTTGCCCAAGTTTGTAACAGTGTCCTGAAATGATGATACTGGGAGGATGTTAACTTTAAAAGAACTGAAGAAAAGCTGGGCAATGAGGGGTTGTGTTGGGCAGATTTGGGGAAAGGTCTGCTTAAAATGCAGACGAGGTGAAGCAGCAAGGCGGACGTAAAATGTTTGCAGAGATAAATGGAGGCAGCTTTGCATCTCCAGAGTAAGTTGTGGGGAGTAAATTTTAAGTTCCTTGTAACAGGAGTAACAAGGAAATGCAGATGGAAATGAAAGGAAAACTCACGTGCCTGGGGGAGGTGGAAACCAGGCAGAGCAAGGTGGAGGGCTGAGTGCCCGGGGGTGATGCTTTCTGAACTGCTGGAAACCACCCTGCAGGCTGTGACCTGCTCTGTATTCCCCCTTCTCCAGGAGACAGCCTGGATCAATATAACCAGCCTCTATGAGGCCTGCCTAGGGTGGGTTGAAATGGGAATTGCTCTGGTCTGGACAGAATTGATCCTTTTTGGTTTGTTTGGGGTTTTTTTTAAAGGAGGCTTCTGGGTATTAGAAAACACCCTAGCAGTCAGCTCAGCCCATGGTGCTGCTGGCTGCTGGAGAAGAGATTCCTTTGCTGAAGCTCATGTGAAACATGTGAGCTGAGTTTTTCCTGCAAGTCAGAGGCACAGACCATCACCAAAGAGGTCCTGGGATCTTCCCTGACAGGAATCTGATGATGTCCCAGCTTCCTGCCAGGAAGTATTTCTGAATTATTTGCCTTTGATGCTCAGCTTTATCCACTGCTGCTTGCATTTCTGGAGCTGGTCCCCTCTCCAGGAGGGTGGGAGGGATGGACAGGGAAGCAGAAGTTGCTGTGGGGGGCTGATGGTGTCCCAGCTCAGTGTGCAGAGCTACCCCAGAGCCGGCCAGCAAGGTGCTTGCCAGCAGCCTGCCTGCCTGAGCAGATGGGGGCTGTGAAGGGTGAAACACTGGGAATTGCCCTCCCAGCTGAAAGCAGATCCAGGCTGGAGCTGCCATTCTCCTTCACCTTCCCGAGCTTGTCTTGCCTGAAGACATGGGTCAGGTTTAACTCTTACCTGTCAGAGCTGCTTGCTGCTGCTGCAGATCGGGAGCGAGCGCCGGAGGTTGCCAGGGTTGGCACCAGCTTTTCTCATTATCTGGGGACGTTTATTCTGCCACAGTGACTCAGTTTAATGAACTCCCTCACAGCTGGCGTTCTGACGTAAGCCCCGGGTCTAAGCAAGCAGAGTGCTCAGGTTTGCCTGTCTGCACAAAGTGTCATCTCCAGCACAGTGCACTCAGCACCGTGCTGTCCTTTTCAGGTGCACAGTGTCCCCTCTCAGCCAGCTGGACTGTATCCCCTTCCTGACGGGTAACATGTGTGCCTGTGTGTTGGCAGACACAGTGAAGGTGTCAGAGCAATTGCTCCTGTCCTCTAGACTCCTGTCTTCCAGCTTGCAGGGAGCTGGGCATGGTGCCCAGCCCCAGCCCATGTGGGACAGAACAGCAGAGCAGCTCCTGCTTTATTCCTGCAGGACCACAGGTTAGCTTTGTCTGTTTTGTCTTTTCCCTCTGGTAGTCTCCAAAAGCCTCTTTCCACTGAACAGCTTCTACTTGTGAAAGTAATACCCAGCAGATAAATGGAGATGATTCTAATGAGAACACAGTGAATAACTCCTCCTGCCCCTGCCCGTACCTCAGGAAAAGCTGAGACAGCCTGTGGGAGCTCTTGTCCTTCTCCGTGCTTTGTGCTCCCATTTGCCCTTGACTCTGCTTGGAGAAAGTGATGAATGAGATGTGCTGGGCCTTTGTTTGCAGCCTGTGTGAGATACTCAGGGAAACATTTGTTGATGGAAAATAATGGATTTTATTGACTTCCAGAGAAAAGCGGGGAGGGGAGAAAAAAGGAATAAATAATTTCAGTGTTTTGAGATTTGGAGTTTTAGCCAAGACGCTCTGGCAGATGATGGAGGGGATGAATAGTCTGGGAAACTTGCACAAAACACAAGGGTTGCTGCTGCTCAGAGGGCAGGCTCAGGGCAGCAAGGCTCTGCCTGGCATCCTGCACTCTGGGAGTGCAAAGGGGCTGACAGTGTGGTGTCTCCCTGGCTGCAGGTATTGGGATGAATTCCACACTTGTACCCTGACAGTGCTCTGGGAATGCCAGAAGGAAGCAGCAGCTGTCTGGGAGATGCTGAGAAGGGAGTCCCAAAAAAACAAATTTCAAGGCAGCTTGTTCCACCTCTGCAGCCCCAGCATGGCCCAAAGCTCTGCCTGGACCCGCGTTCCCAACATTTCCATCCTCAGCATGCCCCTCATCGTCACTTGGCTGAACTTATAAACTGCAGCTCTGTGAGTATCCCAACAAAAGTGGTGGCAATGTGTGGTGTGGCACCTTTCAGATCTATTTTCCAAACCTTTGAGGAATACACTGCGTGGAGCTCAGAAACTCCTGGCTCCATCCTGCGCCTGTGAGACATGGAAAAGCTTGGCAGCATCTCCAGGGTGTTGAAATTTCTCTGTAATTTGGAATAACTCCTCTCCCACTTCTGCCTCAAGGCACGGGCACAGATCTGGCTGTCAGGAGATTTGGGAACTTGTAAATACAGGGCACAGGACCTGGCTGTCAGGAGATTTGGGAACTTGTAAATACAGGGCACAGGACTTGGGGAGAAATGATAAATTCTGGAAAAAGGATGAATGCTGGATACTTCTGCACTCTTCTGTGGCAACTGAAAGGAAATCTGTTTATTTTGCTGACTCTTTCCACCAGATAAACTCTCCAGGGTTTTGATTTGGGCACTCAAAAAATGGGTATTTTCCCCACTGCTCCATGAGGTACAGGGGATGGTGTCTGTCCTGTACTGGCCTTCCTTCTTTGAGGACAAGGTAAAACCCCTGCTGAACAATAATCACAGTTGCATGACTTCTCTTGCACACATCTGAATTCCTGAGTAACTTCTGTGTTATGTGTAAATCCCTGTTCTGTGGACAGAGGTGAAAAATACTTGGGGGGAGTATCAAGCTAGGAGGACAAAAGGGATTTATAGCAACTCTTCTGCTTTAAAGCTTTCCCCAAGGTACCTGTAAGCAGCTGTGGGTAGAAGTGTGTAATTCCAGAGTATTAAAGTTTGTTGTAGAGCCAACAGCGTGGCAGAAGTTATTTTCCTGGCTCTTGCTCGGCATCACAGTCTCCTCTTGTCTCCTTTGTGGCTCAGAGTGCTGTCAGTTTTGCAGCTTCAGCACAAGTATGGAAGTATGTGGAACAAAGGGGTGTTTGCAAGTGATTTCTGAGCATGTTGGAGAAACACAACATTATTGGTTAGCCCAAGGCAGTCTGTGCTTTAAGGATGCTGATGGATCTCTGTGTCCTGCCTGGATGCACAGGGCCATGGGGTGTGTGCTCAGTATGAGCAGGGAAACAGGGCTAATCCACAGATCCTACCAGATGCATTCCAGGCAGTGGGCAAGCTTCTAGAGCAAAGGATCTTTTTCCTAACAGTGGTGTTGGGTCATGCTGCTTTCCTCTGGCATTCACGTGTTCTTCCTCTTACCTTCACTATCCCTCACCCCTCTGCTCCTGCAGCAGCAGCAGGAGATAATGAAGAAATTGGGGCAAATTCCAAGAAATAAGCCAGGGCAGAGCAGCTGGTGTTCAGATAGCACCTCAGTGCACGAGTTGTTGCTTATGTATTCAGTACTCAGCATCTGGGGCACAAAGCCTTAGGGCGAGCAGTGGAGAAAGGGTAAATCAGAGCATGGTAAAACCTGGAGTGAACCACTCGGATGCTTCATTTCTTTCTTTGTACTCCATGCCAACAGCACTGTTTGCTGTTTGATCCTGTTCCCCCTTCCCCTGTTAACTTTAGTGACTGGGGGAAGCTGAAGCAGGGGAGAATCATGTACAACCACGACTGGAATATTTTGGCTCCAAATCCTGTACCTGTTCTTTGTTTAGAACAACAGTTTAATGCCGTTAAGAAAGGACAAGTAAGCACAGCCCCCTAAAATCCCACAAGCCTTGCCTTCTCTTTGACTTTGGCAATTCCTCTCTTAAAATTTTCTACATTGAAACAGCTTTGGGGAAAGGAAAGGTAAAAGAATCAGATTGGCAAGAAATCTTTTTGCAAAACCATGGACGCAAATGGCTGACTGCCACTGCCACTGTCTCTGAGAAGAACAGGTCTTGGGACATATCTTCCCTGGAAGCAAATCCCTCAACTATTGCACACAAAAGATTCATTGATAAACAAAGACCATCTGCCACTGTTCTGGTATGGAGCAGCAGAATTTTTTTTTTGTAAGCCAAAGGTGCTTCTAAATCTGACTGAAAGCATGTGAGAGAAAACTAGGTCTCACAGTATGAGAGTGATGAGTTTCCTCAATCAGTATTTCATTTTTAGCAGAACTTCCTCTATGACTAGGACAATTAAAGTAGAAGTCCTTAAAAAAAAAAAAAAAAAAAAAGCAATACACAGATTCATTTTTCCTAGGCAGTCAGCAGCCTTTCAGAAAGATTTCTCATCCTGCAGCATACTTCATGCTGATGCAGTGCAGCTCCTGGGATGTCCTGCAGGCTCAGTGTTAAAGCCCCATTTGTCAAGGGTTCTTCTCATGGCCTTGCTGTGAGTTTCTCCAGATACAAAGCTGTCTCCAGATTTCCAGATTCACAGCGTATCTCATGTACTCAAAAAGAAATAGGTTAAGGATTCTTTAGTCCAAAGTCTTCACCTCTGTTCTTGCAGGGGAACAAAGGTGGCAGCTCTGTTAACAGAGACCCACAGCAACTCTGGAAACAGCTGGAAGAACGTGGCTTTGTCTCCTAGCTCTCAATTTCACTGTAATTAATCTTCAGTTCCCGCTTGCCTCAAGAACAGCCCTGAACACAGGAGTGCACACAAGGCTTTGGTGTGGTATTAAGCCTTGAAGTGAACCTGCAAGCTTTCCCTGTCCCTGCAGGACTGGGATGTTCTTTCTCAAGAATAGCACCAAGAAGCAGCAGAGGACAAAATGACCCCAAAGGAGTCTTAAAACATGACTAACAGCACGCCAGTACTTGTCACCCCGAGGCAGCACTGCCCTCTGCTCCACGCCCTGAACCCAAGCACAGCACTCTCCCTGCTCCTTTCTGAGGGAGATACTGGCACCTACTGGAGACCAGATTACATCCAGGCTGAGGTGACTGGGATAAAGGCAAGTATTCTTGTACGTGAAAAACGAGCAGATTTTGAGAAGGGATGGATTGTCTTGCTGCAGGGGCAGCCCTAGGAAGTGACCTCGGGGTGGCCTTCCAGGCTGGCTCCTGTCCAGAGAAACACTTGTGTAAACTCTTCCCTTTGAAAGGCTGCTGCTGTTTGAAGCTCTGCTTACAGGGGCTTTGGTCAGGATGGGCTCCTGGTGAAATCCCCCAATATAAAAAGTGCTGGTTACATTTGTTTAGACAGAAATCCTCCTCTGGAGACCTGCTGAGAATGTAAAGCAGCAGGATGTCATCCTGCCCCCATTTACAGTGCCTGAGTGCGAGAGCAGGGATTGAAATACAGCTCAGCTGCCTAGTAACAGAACTCAAAAGAGCAGCTTCAGAGTTTATCAGTCTCACATCATCACACCACTTCTCAACAAACTGAATTAGCAAACTATTTATGCAAATTAAAACTTACAAATATTAACATACAAAGGAAGCTACTGCAGCAAGATGCTGCACAGGAGAAAAATCTGACTCTAGACCAGGCTTTGTCCTCGTTTGGGGCTGCACAACATGGCCATCCCTCTGTGGAAACCAGGCTGGATGTATGGCTGCTTGCTTGGGCTGTTGGATCTGGAGGAATCACCCAACTCCAGACCCTCAGCAGTAAAGGGATGTCCCTGCCTGGTGAAGTTTATTTGAAGGACCTCTAAATATTCAAGAAATAACAACAGTCTCTTACTTCACATCACCTCTACCAGGCAAGACCTGTTGCAGGACTGCTGAAGCCTGATGGGAAAGCTCATCCAAGGGGGAAGAGCATCATGGCTCCAGGACACTTTTGCAGGTTTCCCCAGGGCAGCTCCAGGCTCAGGCTGGACATGTGGAGATCCGAGATCCTGAACTGCTGACACTCCCTCTGAAGTGGGGTTATGCCAGCTGACTTCCCAAGACAGCACTCAATGATGCCTTCCTTTCAGAGCAGAGGTATGAAATGTTTATTGTAGGAAATTTTATGTGCCCCAGATAGCGGGCACCTTACAGCCAAGTGTTCTCTGGCTGCATCCTTCTGTTGCCATGATACAACACTCGTGGTATTTCTTGAAGTGCTCAGCTTCCCAGGAGAGCCGTAACACTCACAGCAACATTATATTTTTATTATTACAAAAGATTTCTTCAGCAAACTGCTGTCTGTCACCTCTATGTATCAAACATGGAAACAGCAAACAAACCCATCTAACATTGCAGGTTATTATTTAGTGTCTCAGCTGGTGATTCAGGTAAGTAAAACTATTGTCTTTCTCCCCATCCATTCATTTCCTTGACTCTTTCCCAAGCAAAGCCCAAAGAAGTCACAGATTGGAAGCAGCAGCTCCCAGCCCCACTGCTCACTGTGCCAGCTCCAGCAAGAAGAGCTAACCATCATGTTACCCATTCAGGGTACTCCCACATCCTTAAATTCCAAATGCTCCTCACACACCGAGTTTTGCTACCTGGCTTTTAACAGTCTCATGAGCGAAGAGTTTTAGGGCACACTCTCCATACAGTCATATTAATACTTTGTGTTAACAAAATAAACATCTGCTCCTCCCCCGCTGTCAGCCGATGCCAGAGGAGACGCTCACACTCATGCAGTCACTGAGGTCCAAAAAACCAAAAAAAATCATAAAGTCTAAACAGACCTGCTGTGCTTCTTCAGGGATGATTCTGAGGCATCGGATGCATTGTGCTGGGAACAATGACAAACGCAGCGTGGTGTTGCCAGAGGCAGGCAGTCTATACGTTGGATTTGGGGGCGGAGTTGAGGGGGATCTCCCGGAGCTCGATCCTCATGCACAGGTACTCCCCGATGGCCGCCATCAGCGCCGTGCACACGATGTGCACCAGCCACCACGTCAGCGTCGAGGGGAAGCGCGAGTTGTAGATCCAGCAGCCCAGGAGGTGGAAGAAGTGAACGGTGACGGTGAAATCCAGGCACTGCTTCCCTCGGCGGATGAAGTACAGCAAGCCCAGAGCACTGCAGAGTGAAGGCAACAGATTAATGAACTCCACCAGACCTATGGGAAAGGTGCTGCAGCAAGAGCTATCAGCAGTTGTCAGTGCTCATTATGTAGTGGGTTTAAAACTACTTCAAACATTTTAAGAATAGGTTGTTTCTGACCTCTCTCCTGGCTGCTGCAGCAAGACTTACAGGCTTACAGCTTTTCAATTACATGGTGGCAGGAAAATGAGATTTTAGTGCAGAAAATAGTTTATAAATTCCTGCCTATCTCCTCTAGTAATCTCTGTGCAGTGGCAAAATACATTAGTGTTTATAGATCAGTGTTTGCTGAGATCCATTAATTCTAAATTTTAGTAAAATCTCCCACAAAAGCAAGTCTCATTCCCAGCAGGGAAACTGAGGCAGTGAAGTGAAATGACTTTTCCAGGTTCTAGAAAGCCAAGTCAGCAGCTCCCAACTGCACTTGGCAAACATGCTTAAGAAGGCACAGGGATTTTGGGAGGTGTTTGGAGAGAGGCAGTACACCACACTGAATTCTTTTACAGCTTAATGGTACAAAAGGACAAGATGCAGGTGCTCCAGCTAGCTGCAGACTTACCAGGTGAGTGCATTGAGGATGAAAGCCATCATGGAGAGCCTCCCCGGCGGGGTTGAGAAGCCTAAAATCTACATGGGACTATTAGTAGGAACCCGCGGCACAAATCGCAGCCCGAGGGGCACAGCCCTGCATGGATCAGGATCTACAGGAGCAGCTGGACATGTCTGTCTGTCTGTCTGGGGGCACCTACGGGAAAGGTCTGGTTCTGTGCTGAGGGGAACCACTAAACTGGGGGTGGAGGCCGTGTGTCCATACTGGGGTTATTTCTAGGGGGTAGGGGAGCTCTTTATACCGGCAGTACCTGTACAGGGTGTCTCTATAAGGGGGTATCACCTACAGAGCGAGGTGCTCTCTCTCCACAGGGGCACCACCTGTACAGGGTGTCTGTCTCTATATGGGGGCTACCACCCGCCATACACCGCAGTGCTGTCTGTACCCCGGGGTACACCTATTCAGAGGGACGGCTTTACCTGCATACTGGTAAAGCCAGACACTAGACAGCAGGTCTGTGTGCTGGGGGCTGCTACCCGGGCAGCACACCGGGTGCTGCCTGGCGGGGCTGTCCCCGGCCCCGGCAATGCCCACACGGCAGCGGCTCTGTCTGCCCAGCGAGCCCCCCGCGCCAGGGCCTGTGCCCACGGCGCCGTCCCGGGGCGCGCCCTCACCTCGTCGCTGAACACCTGTTGGAGGGAGGGCCCGGTGCTGCCCAGGGTGCCGAGGAGGGCGAGCCAGAGCCCGAGGGAGCTGTAGTATCCCGCCTGCAGCAGCACCATCTGCGCCACGATCAGCGCGGGGTCCCACACGTAGCTGCGGAACTGCGCCGCCATCGCCCGCCCGCCGCCCGCGACGGAAGCGCCCCGAGCCGCGCCACAGCGCCCCCTGGCGCGGCGGAGGACCCGCTGCCGCCCCGAGCCGCGCCCGCGGCCCGGCCCCGCTCGCTCCGGTCCCGATCACGATCCCGATCCCGATCCCGATCCCGATCCCGATCCTGATCCCGATCCCGATCCCGATCCCGATCCTGATCCTGATCCCGATCCCGATCCCGATCCTGATCCCGATCCCGATCCCGATCCCGATCCTGATCCTGATCCCGATCACGATCACGATCACGATCCCGATCCCGATCCTGATCCCGATCACGATCACGATCCCGATCCCGATCCCGGCCCCGCTCGCTCCGATCCCGATCCCGATCCCGATCCCGATCCCNCGCTCCGATCCCGATCCCGATCCCGATCCCGATCCCGGCCCCGCTCGCTCCGATCCCGATCCCGATCCCGATCCTGATCCCAGCCCCGCTCGCTCCGATCCCGATCCCGACCTTATCCCGGCCCCGCTCGCTCCGATCCCGATCCCGATCCCGATCCCGATCCCGATCCCGATCCCAGCCCCGCTCGCTCCGATCCCGATCTTATCCCGGCCCCGCTCGCTCCGATCCCGATCCCGATCCCGATCCCGATCCCGATCCCGACCCCGCCCCCGCCGACCCCGATCCCGATCCCGATCCCGATCCCAACCCCACCCCCGCCCACCCCGATCCCGATCCCGATCCCGATCCCGACACCGCCACCGCCCACCCCGATCCCGATCCCGATCCCAATCTTATCCTGGCCCCTCTCGCTCCGATCCCGATCCCGATCCTGGCCCCGCTTGGTCCGATCCTGATCCCGATCCCGGCTCCGCTCGATCCCGATCCCGATCTTATCCCGGCCCCGCTCGCTCCGATCCTGATCCTGATCCCGATCCCGGCTCCGCTTGATCCTGATCCCGATCCCGGCCCCGCTCGATCTGATCCCGATCCCGATCTGGATCCTGATCCCAATCCCGGCCCCGTTCGATCCCGATCCCGGCCCCACTTGGTCCGATCCCGATCCCGATCCCGATCCCGGCCCCTCTTGCTCCGATCCCGATCCTGATCCCTTTCCCGGCTCTGCTCGATCCCGATCCCGATCCCGGCCCTGCTTGCTCCGATCCCGATCCCGATCCTGGCCCTGCTCGATCCGATCCCGATTCTGATCCCAGCCCCGCTCGATCCGATCCCGATTCTGATCCTGATCCCGATCCCAATCCCAGCCCCGCTCGATCCGATCCCGAACCCGATCCCGACACCGCTCGATCCGATCCCAATCCTGATCCCGATCCCGACCCTGCTCGATCCTGATCTCGACCCCAACCTCTCTGGTGTCCCCAACCCCACTCAGTCCCGATCTCGAT